AGTACCCTGATGGAAGTGGACCAGCTCAGGGCCCTTACCGACTATGTTAAGAACATTGAGAACGAGCTCTCGCACCACAACGAACTGAGAGCGCCGTTACTCATTGCCGTAAGAATCATCTCTCGACTATACATGAACGTCACTAACATATTCTTAGTTCTCCCCTCGCCACCCTAATGCACAGAAGGCCATGGCCAACTGGGAGCGCAAATCGCAGTACCTCCTTCGTGAGATTGTCAAGTTCCGCACCTATATCGACACTCTGGCAACTGCGCAAGCGCAGAAGCAAAAGATCTATGCTGAGCGCGAAGCTCGTGAACAGCAAGAGCTCGAAGAGGCAGAGAAGGAAGCAGAAGCCAGTGCGAAGAACACTGAAGATGATGGTGCGATCCAAGCTTCCGAGCCTGCTCCATCCAAGACCATCTTGAATCCTGCTCTACCAGCAGCTTTCCTTTTACATCCATGATCGCCAATTTTTTATTTTGGCGTACACTGACGATTGATTTCTTTGTTACGAATAGTTACCCCCTTAAAGCGCACGATACGGCGTTTGCGTCTGCTTCATTCGTCGAAACCGAGCCTAAGACAGCGTCCGCACTCGGTAGCTTGACGCACTGTTATACCTATTGTAATCTGTACGAAGTTCTCACGTTTGGCGTCTCCAGCAATTTCCTCGGTTTTTTCTTTCTCGTCCCTTCTTCTTTCGAACGAACACGTACGACCACCCCAAGAGTCTTTTGAATCGGACTTCACTCCGTACGATTATATTCGCATCTAGTCATTATCAAGCTCGGGAAGATTGATGATCTATATGGTTACTTTGGGACGGAGCTCGCTCTGCATTATTTCATCCTTAGACTGGGCGGGAGAGCACGATGAAGAAGCAATTGTTCGAATATTATACCCCATGTTCTCGAATAGCATACTTTGAACCCTATTCCCATAACACTCGTGACATCACCGTGCGCATCTATTCCTGGTGCATCGCCGTTACGTGCATGATACCTGGGAGAAGACGCACACTTCGTTCATCGCACAGCTTGCATGAGCATGTCGTTACATCACCTTCAGCTGCATGCACACCGCAGCCCTAAACTACTCATAAGGCTACGATAGCTCAATTTACCACAGCCTACCAGTTAATGTAACCCCACAGCCACCACCAAGACCTCTATGATGCCATTCGAAGAAGCCCATTGCGCCCACTGCTCACCACCACTGCAGCTAGAAACTCCAGCGCGCTGTGAAACTCGAGCAGCGTTGCGCCTAACGCATACACCGGCCCTCCTTCCCTTCCAATCATCGTGGATCGTGGACCAATTACCATCGGCCCTCACTGTCGGCGTGCAGTGTCCTGCGCAAGCCACAGGAAGGGCTAGACCTTCTTAGCGCCAGCCTCTACAAGCAGCGCCGCTCTGATGTAAGGACCGAATTGGACAGAAGGATGCCAGAAAGGTTTCTTGCAGATGCGTACAGTGCATCAAGGTGGGATCGCGTAGAGGGCTATGGGTCGGATTGGGAAGCGCCGAAGACAAGGTGTTAGGTATGTAGCCAAGTGATCTCGTACACCCTTCGCGTTGCACGCCCCATTCGGTAGGGTGCATGGTGCCGTCTTTTTGATCTGGCTGGGGACGATACAGGGCTGAAAGAAAGACTTGGATGAATAGGGAATGGGAAAGGGCCGTTTGATCTCAAAGCGGGTTGGGGTTTTGCTTTCAATGGATGGGGGTCTACGTTTGATAGGAAAGCTATGTGTAAACATATTTGCGAACGTTAACCTAAACTGAAAAAGTAAAAGCAACAACACATAAACCGCCGAAAGCATCGCAAACTCTCTCTCTCTCTCTCTCTAAAGCACACGCTGTAGAACAGCGTTAGACCAGTCCAGCTCTCAGGAAACAGATCTGCACCTAGTTGGACCCCGGTCCTGGGGATCGTCGGTGTTGCCGTCTCGCGTACGAGACCGGACGAGCTAACTAGCCTTGTACCTCGCCGGCATCGTGGCATCCCACACGCCCCCATGTCACAAATTGCGGAAAGCAGACGGGAAGAAGACGGGCAGATTGAGCGTGCCGGGCGATTAGACGAATGAGAGGGCAGAAGCGACGGGAGACTCGGCACTGGGGTCTCGTCTTGCATAGGAGGAGACACGTAGGTAGTTGTGGAAATGAGATGGACGAAATGTCTTGGAGGAGGCATGTAGCGCGTATTACCCAATTGATGTAGCAAACGTAGGATGGACCATGACGGACAAGCGTCTGCGTTGTAGTCGCCGTTGCACAGTGTTTCTAGCGCATGAGTAGCTCGACTGCGGACGCAATGCCGAAGGACGATGCATGTACAACAGTAGGCTGCTACAGTAGGTTTGCATAGCGGCATGCAAGTCGCATCGTAGACCACGAGGAAACATGGGCACAAACCATGCGCCATGCGCCTTCGACCCGCCATCCAGACTCTCTTGACAGGCGTTTCCGTTTTTCTTTTATCTCCGCAACGGCCCATTCCCATCCGGTAGCCCCCTGAATTGACTCGATTTCCTATTTCTCCAGGGGATCGTCACTCATCTTGCCTATTCTCGTGGTTTGCTCTTCTAGATTCAGACGTCTGGACTGTGAGGTTAGAAAGTTGGCCCACGAGTTTCGGAGCTTAGCTCCATAGCTTTGTCAAAGCTCAGCCCTAGCCATCCTTGCCAGACCCCGCGCTACTACCACATCTCTCGACGTTACCGACGCACCGTCAGCCGCACTCTATAACGGGACCGACTACAGCTTTCTTCGTGCACCCTACGACATTTTATTCCTTCACCTCGACACTTGCGCCACGATTCCTATTTGAAGCATTGAAGAGCGCGCTCGCAGACGGCGATCTGGGCATCATCATCCACGGCTATCCGGCATCTCTGCCAGTACGCGCGGACACTTGACGAAACCTCGACAGCAACCGCACATCGCAACTCGACATGTCCTACTATCCTGGCCAGCAATACCACGGTGGCGGTGGCTACGGCGCGCCGCCGCCGCCTCAGAATAACTATGGTGCTCCACCTCCCCAAGGATACCCTCCTCCACAGCAACAATACGGCGCTCCGTGAGTAGACAATGACGTGCAAAGCTTGATCGGTGCTGACGAACCCAGACCTCCACAACAATACGGATACCAGAGCCCACAACCGCCCTTCAACAACAACTACGGCCAACCTACGCCGCCGCCTCAACAGTATGGATACAATCAGGTATGCACATGGCATGCTGAGAAGCAACCGCTCGCGGAATTGATGGCTGACATGCTTAGGGCCCGCCACCACCACAGCAGTACGGCAACTATGGACCGCCACTTCCGCAACAACCACAACAGCCTCCTCGTCCAGGCATGATGCCCACAGCTGGCAGCAACCAATGGACACACGGAAACCACAACGCTCCTCCACCCCCACCATCCGGCGCACAGAACTTCGGTCACGGCGCCCCCAATGGCTACTCGTTCCAATACTCAGCGTGTAACGGTCGGCGGAAAGCGCTGCTTATTGGGATCAACTACTTCGGCCAACGAGGTCAGCTTCGTGGTTGCATCAACGACGTGAAGAACATGAGCACCTACTTGAACGAGTTCTTTGGCTATAAGAGGGAGGACATGGTCACTTTGACCGACGACCAGCAGAACCCCATGAGCCAGCCGACCAAGGCGAATATTCTACGGGCGATGCACTGGCTGGTCAAGGACGCAAGACCAAACGACTCGTTGTTCTTCCACTACTCAGGTGCGTCGTCCCTCATACACAAGCATACTGTCAGGCAACTAACTTGAACCAGGGCACGGTGGCCAGACCAAAGACCTCGACGGGGACGAAGACGATGGCTACGACGAGGTAGTCTACCCAGTTGACTTCCGCACCGCCGGCCACATTGTCGACGACGAGATGCACCGTATCATGGTCGCACCCCTCCAGCCCGGTGTGCGATTAACCGCCATTTTCGATTCCTGCCACTCCGGCTCCGCCCTCGATCTGCCTTACATCTATTCCACCCAGGGTGTGCTCAAGGAACCCAACCTGGCGAAGGAGGCTGGTCAGGGTTTACTGGGTATTGTGTCGAGTTACGCACGCGGCGATATCGGCAGCATGATTGGCGGTGCCACAAGTCTGTTTAAGAAGGCGATCAATGGCGACGAAGTGTACAAGAAGAACTTGCGAACAAAGACTAGCCCTGCGGATGTGATCATGTGGAGTGGATCCAAGGACACACAGACCTCGTAAGTTTTCTACCGACTGATTCTGGACTTGACATGGACAATACTAATACGGGTGAACAACAGGGCCGACGCAAGTATTGGTGGTGAAGCTACCGGAGCCATGTCTTGGGCTTTCATCTCTTCGCTGCGCAAGAACCCGAATCAGAGCTATGTACAACTGCTCAACAGTATTCGTGATGAGCTGGAAGGCAAATATCAACAGAAGCCTCAGCTGAGCTGCAGCCATCCGTTGAGTAAGCCTTTTCTCTACCTTGCTGTCAGCACGGACGACAAGCTAACTGGAGTAGATACGGACCTGTTGTACGTTATGTAGACGTATAGTTGTGGAACGAAGAAGAATTGTTGTAAGATGATATGGGCTAGGGTCCGGTATTTGCATACAGGGGCCTTTGGACTGAACGAATGGATGATACCATGACACATACATCCTTGGATAAGGAAAGCGTGGTTGCTACCAAAACGGATGACTGACGATTGTGTATACGAGTTCCTCTGTATATACTTGGGCACGCGACACGACGGTAGTGTGTCAACCAGCACATGCTGTAGCTATTGGAGAGTCCGACTGGAGTAAAAGAAGTCGTTATTCACTATCAAGGGGTATCGAACTTTGTTGTCTATCGCGTCCGTCGACGTATATCCCTACTGTAGCACCACTGCTATCCACTATCATCGTTAACCATGATGAATCCTTCCATCCGTAGCTTTCTGTAATATAATCACGAAGAGCCAAAGCAGTTCACCTTCCACACCTAGACATCCGCAATCTCCTCATCAACCCAATCCCTCCAACTCCTCCACTCGCCCCAGCTCAACGCTACCTTCTTACCCTGATACCTCGTGACCTTCAACGCAACCTTATTCCAATCCGCCTTCTTGCCACTCCACCCCGCCTTCCGCATCAAACTAACCAGCGCCTCTTCCTTCGTCCACCCCTGCTCGCTCGCCACATCAGGCAGATACGTGCTCCCATACCGCCTACCTTTTTCCTGGAAGCTAATCCGCAAGCCATGTGTGCCAATCTCCCAATCCATAACATCGTCCACGGGCTCAAAGTCTGTGAGGAGTGTGACGGCGCAGGAGAGCGTAGGTAGTTCGCGTGTGCTAATGGGCGAGAAACGCGTGTCGTCGAAGGCGGCTGTGAGCGCATATGACGAGAGTCCCGTGGTGAGGGGCTGGGCTGAAAAGGTTCCAATGCAGCCTCGAAGTCGCTTCTCGCCGGAGCCCGAAACCGTGTTCCATGTTACGAACAAGGGATGCTCTTCTGCCTCTTCCTCCTTATCGACTAGGTTTGTAGTGCTGCTGCTCTGGCTTGTGATGCTACTTGGTGTCTCGCTGCTTAGACCGCTGGGCGTCGAATTCGCGCTTTGCCGGCTTGACGAACTTGCGGAGGAGGGCGGAGAGGCGAGGATACGCGATATCGCGGGTGTTTTGTGGGAGCCATCTACCTGTGCCGCGGCCTGGTCTGCTTCTTCCGCTTCGGTCTCGTCTTCGAGCTCGGATGTTGTGGTAGGCTCGGTGTTGTATTTGGCCCAGAGATGTTCGACTTGGGCGAGCGTGAGGGCGGGGCGCTTCTCGAGGCTTGCGACGAGCGTTTCGAAGCAGAACGCGCAGTGCGCTTGGGTTGCCATGGTGGGATGGTGGGGGCGGTGACGTTTGACCGGAGCGAGTGGGTGGAGGCCGAGACGCGTGGGCTGGGTTGGAGAGAACTACAAGGCGGGAAGAACTGAATAGCGGAGAAGGAAGGGTTGGGAACACAAGAGTCTTGCAATAGAAGACGGGTAGATATGACGGATGAATCCGGGGTGTAGGGCTGCTAGCTAATCGGGCAACGACAGGGCTGTGCAGCAACGTCAGGAACGGGAACGCCTCGGCCGACTTACCTCCGCGGAGAGACGTGTGACAGTGTCAAGGAGCGTCTTGTCGATGCCTGGCGACTACAGCCGCCTTCGCACAAGCTCAGGAGGGTGGCATTGTGAGAGACTTGAGCGTCGCGGTCGCAGACTATGGAGGGAAGTGTCAATGTTCCAGTAACAACCTCGTCGGTCCTTTAAGTTGTATGTCTAGGAAGCGTCATGGAGTAACAGGATTCGCACAATCTGGATAGGATAATGTCATTGATTGAAATACATATAGATGTATGCTATCTCACGATGTACTGACTGCACAACTCTTTAGAAGATGCACTGAAAGTCCAAAGCACTGATTCAACAGTTGGTATGTAACCCCATCTTCATGCACACGTACCTTACGGGGTAGAAGGTCGTGTGTTTGGTAATGATGGGGGTGCTTGTTCTTGCCACGATAGATTTTCCTTCAGCAGGTCGAGCATGGAAGAGCTCTGTTGCTGTACACACTAATGGCTGGGTTGAGGTTTGCACCTCGTTGGTCTCTCTGACTTACCTGGACTCGTTGCGAACGATCGAACAGCCTAACACATCACTTGGACAGTCGCGCGCTGGTGGAACCGACCTGACTTTTCGACTTGTTTCATTGCCGCATTTCATGCCTGCAGTAGGCGTGAAGCCGCGTGCTCCAATCCCTCGAGCTCGAAGCTGTCATAGAAAGTCCGAATGCCATTGACGCCGACCAGATGTCTCATAAAGGAATCGAAAACCGCCATCGTCGCTCGCTCGTGATCGTGTCGTCCTTTATGCCGAGTCGCGCTTGCCCTCCTTGACCTCCTTCTGTGTATTTGTTAGCGGGCCGTGTTCCCGTGGAACGGTGAGGTGTTGGTACGCACCAGAGCGCGCATGGTGCCGTGAAGAGCATGCCTGTGGTTCCTCCTGAACTTGGGGTCGGTTCCCTTGAGCGAGGGGTAACGGTGGGTCTTGGGCTTCTTGATACTGTGTTGCAATTGCATCAGCTTTTGTTCTCATCTAGGTGTCCATGATCCTTCGCATTGTAGACGGTTCATCTGCGGGACGATGGCGCGTGCGATGGAGGAGGGTGATGCGTACCCGTTACGGTGGTTCTTCTTGGACTGGTTGTGCTGGGACGAGTTCTTGGATTCTGCGCAGCTCCGTTAGTATTCTGGCCATACAAGTCGTGAGCTACCGTCAACGTACTGGCCATGGCGACGGTTGTGGATGTCGATTTGGCTGTGTGGTATTGTCGAAGAGCTGATGTCGGGGAACGAATTTGCTGTGCCCAGGTGTGGTGCAGCTCGTAAGCGAGCGGGATTTCGCGCTAGTGGTAGCGTGACGCGGCTTGTGCGCCGGCAACACCAGGTGGGCATCACCACATCATCATGTCTTCAGTCCTCTCAGGTAACATTCGAAAATCAATCACATGATTCTAGAGAGCGGCTCGCAATATTGCTCTTTGTTCCATTGCTGCATCATCCTCGCATGGTTTGCCGACACGACTTTCGCACGCACAACGGAGTTCATGACCAGCATTCTGGCTTCACCTCGCATAAGGGGAAGCCGAACAGTTGGGCTGCAGCCTACGTTAATATAAAACCAAAAGTCAACAACATCTTAAGGCGATGTAGACTTCGAACGTGCTTACTTCTAACACCTGTTTCATCTCTTTCCTAAATTCGGTGGGATGATGTCGATATCTTCCGAGCTCGCACATACACTTTCTGGAGTTCCGGTCGTGCTGCGATTTTAAGTTTCAATGTCAACTTAATCCTCACCGGATGGCGTCACTGTCACTTGGCACCGCCCTCATTCCTGACTACCTCTTCAAGATCGCTCATTACAAGTACCCTTCGACGTCGGCACTTTTCATTTGGGAAGGATAGCCTGTCATCTGAAGCGATGTACTCCCTCGTAATAGGCGTCGTTTGCGAAACTACTCCCTTCGTGGCAGATCTGGTATACGCAAATTTAGTTTCAACACGCAATTTAGTACGTCTCGGAATTTGAGGAAAGAGCAGTGCATGGTTACTGAGTGTAGAAGGCGGCTTTGCCGTATCGCACCCTCGTACCTGATGTCTACACTTTGTCGCTGCCTTGCTTTTTACCCAGCCTCACCTGGCTACCAACGTCTCAAGCCATGTAAGGCTAGTCACTACTGTCCCAAGCCGTCCCATATTCTTTGTCGATCAGCGGAAGACGTGCGGCACTATTCCACTATCTCGCAGGCTTCCCCAGAACGCGGAACCGTGCCCGTCCACCGGCTGTGCACGCCGATGAATGACGATATCGTTTAATTGGCTACTGTTAATCACGCCTCATCAACCCTTACTGAGGTAGTAATACGCTGCAGCTGCGGGGCGACTACATCCCAGAAATCGCCGTGCTCTATATATCCTGTAGCCCAAACTCCGATTAAGCGTCGTCGTCACTCTTACATCGACCATGGAGAATCCGACAATGAAACCATCGAGTGTGCCAGACGATAAGACTGTGGTGCTTAACGATACATACGGAACTCATATCGACCCGTACGCTGAGAAGAAGCTCCTTCGGAAATGCGACCTTCGCGTTCTTCCGCCTCTCTTTGTTCTATTCCTCCTAGCCTTTTTGGACCGTGTCAACATCGGTACGTTGCTGCTACTCTAGTAGCATGTTTATGAGCTAACAGAACATAGGCAATGCGAAAATCCAAGGTTTGACCGAGGACTTGAACATGACAGGCCCGTTGGCCTATCGTTACAACCTCGCTTTATCGATATTCTTCGTCCCCTATGTCCTCTTTGAGGTACCGTCAAATCTCATCCTGAAAAAGATGAAGCCTTCGACATGGCTTAGCCTGATCATGATATGCTGGGGTTAGTCGCAGATATTGGAATGTGAGTGCCATGCTAACGAGCCTCAGGCCTTTCGACAGTCGGAATGGGCCTTATCACCAACTTCGGCGGTCTATTAGCGATGCGCCTTCTGCTAGGTCTTTTCGAGGCTGGTTAGTATTGTTCATGTACGAATCGCAGGTGCAACATTTACTGACTTCACGAACCAACATTCAGGTCTGTTTCCTGGATGCCTGTACCTGATCTCGATGTATTACAAGCGTTACGAGCTTCAGTGGCGCATTACCCTCTTCTTCAGCGCGAGCATCATCGCAGGAGCATTCGGTGGCGTAAGTATACATACGCTAATCGGAAGTTCGTACTAACCTCTCGTAGCTCCTTGCATTCGCTATCGCCAAGATGGACGGCATCGCAGGCTACGGAGGATGGTAACTACACCTCATTAACGTTGCATACGGAACAAATACTGACTTTATGAACTAATCAGGCGCTGGATCTTCATCATCGAGGGTGCCGTCACCGTTGCATTCGGTGTCATCATGTATTTCTGGATTCCTGGGTGGCCCGAGAAAGCAGGATTCCTAAATATGGAAGAGAAAACCCTTCTTCTAGCACGCCTCAACGCCGACACGGGTGATGCTGTCATGAACAGGTTGGACAAGAAAGCTGCGAAGCGAATCTTCTCAGATCCCAAGATCTATCTGGGGACTCTTGCATACTTTGGTGAGTATTCTCAGTGCTATCTCATTTCCTAGTATCTGCGGTAGGATACGTGCTGACTATGCGCTTCCACATATTAGGGGTCGTCAACACCGGCACTGCTGGTTCAATCTTCACTCCAACTATCGTCAAAGGACTCGGTTACACATCTTCCGCCGCCCAAGTACGCTCGATACCTATATTCATCGTGGCAACCATTGCAGCCGTCGCAGCAGCCTGGCTGAGCGATCGCATGCGCCATCGCTATTGGTTTTGCATGTTCGGACTCGTCGTCGCATCAATTGGTTACATCATGCTTCTCGCCCAAGAGAACCTCCCCGCTGGCGTGAAGTACTTTGCCCTCTTTCTCGTTACGCCTGGCGGTTTCATCACTCAGCCCATCGTGCTCGCCTGGATGTCCAATCTTGTTTCTGGACACTACAAGCGTTCCGTCAGCTCCGCTATGCAAGTTGGATTCGGTAACCTGGGAGGTGTCGTGGCCAGTAATATCTTTCTGGAAAGCGAACTGCCAGGTTTTCGGACGGGATATGGGACCAGTCTGGGCTTGTTGTGGATTTGTGCTGCGGCTTGTACGGGGTTACTTTTCTTGGTCAAATGGGAAAACGCGAAGAGGGAGAGGGGCGAGAGGGATGGAAGGCTGCAAGAGGTGGATGCGGACAACCTCGGTGACGATCACCCAATGTTCAGGCTTACATCTTGAGGCAAGGATGTGGGATGTCTTGTGAGACAAAAGTGGAAAGTTAAGCAGAACACTCTGGTAGCAGTTCAAAATTGACGTCTGGTACTTTGTTTAGATGTTGGCCACCTCGTCTGTATTGTGGGTTCTTCTCGGTGCATTCGTAGGGGGCATTATGCGTGCCTTCCCTGCGTCGCGGCTGCGCAAGCACCAAAGGTCTCTATGTAACTTGACCCGGCGTGTTTCTCCTGCCGCGCCATAGCAACTAACGTGATATGCAAAGAGTGTTTACAGTATCTGCCAATCTTTCTCAGTTTCCATCGGACTCATAGCTGCGTCGGTCCAATCATCCTCAGATCCAACCTCGTCTTCGGTGTCGGATTTGAGGATTGGTGAAGATCCGGACGTCTCGTTGGGCTTTCCGTCATTCCTTATCTTATCCTCTGTTGTGGCGAGTCCATCGGAAAAGTCTTCCTGAGCCTCTTCTTGCTCATCCGCGCTATCCTCCCCGTCGTCATCGCCCATGACTTGATTACTGAATGGCCGCGTGGTTTTCGTGTGTGGCGGTGTAGTCATGGCCTCAAAGAATGCTCTAGCATTGCTGTACTCTCTTGTCTCACCACTCCACAAAATACACCCGACTATGATCTTTACATCATCTCTGTGTAGAAGGATGCTGAACTCGCTCGCCGCACCCCAGAGGCTCATCTCATCATCCCATATGTTGAGACACAACGTTTTGAATCCGGTCAAGTGCTCCAGAATGTAATAGGCCAGCTCAGCAAATGCTCTTTGGGTAGCCTGTGCTGAACAGTCTTCTTCGTAGGGTTGCACGAGAAGAGATAGGCTTGTAACGTGTTGGCGAGCAGATGGACCGATGCTTTCTAACCATTTCTGCGTCGCAAACGCTTGGTACCGTCCGCGTGGACACGGGCCGCTCAGGAAAAGGAAGGTGCGGCGTTCGTATACTGTCGGCTCGGCATCTTCATGGACTTGGTTGCGGCGCTCCTTTTCTTCTTTTGTTGCCGGTCGCAACATATTGACTGGACCGTGGGCGGATTGGAGCACCCATAGCTCTTCTTTTCTCGTTTTGAAGCGGACTTCGGGGCCGACGCATTTGCTTCGAGTGTAGATGTGGCCCGGCTCTCTGCTGTCTTGCGAGGGAAGATCGGATCTTGGACATCGACAAATGTCGATTTGTGTTTGTCCGGCAAAGGTGGTGTTGCTGGGGTTCTCGAAATGAGGCCACTCCAGAGTATAGTTGATTGTCGTCACGTTGTCTGTCGTTGAGAGGTGTGGCATCGGTTGATTCGGACTTCGATACATAGCACCGGCGCCGGTGTGGACTGTTGGGGGAATCTGCTTGCGAGAGTGAGGTCCGATGGCTTTGACCAAATTGGGAACTCCTTCGCTGTAATACACCGTGCTGCCCAGACCGTACTGCGGAAGGCGCGTGATGCTCTCTGATCTGGCTCACTTGGTTTACTTTTTCGTCAAGTCGCCCAAACACGAGGCTGATAATAGGTCATCATGCATACCGCTACTCTCACTACGCCTGAGATACCAACCACACTTTGTACGAGCCCTATGAGATACCGGATGAGGAAATGCTGTACGCCTAGTTAAGCTAAGAATAGTAAGCTATGCTGGCACAGCTGAGTACGAGACGAGGCGAGAATGCGTCAGCGCACGATTGCGCGTGGCGAGAAACAGGATGGAAGTTGTGAAGTTTGATGGTGTCGGTGAAGTAACCGTGAGTGTAGCGGAGGGTAGGTAGGTGAGACGGGCAGATGGGAGCTATTTGTGGGGTCCGGTGAGCAACGCGCACCAGTGTGAGGTGTCGGTATGCTAGGAATAGGATTCCTGCGCGCATGTCATGCCCATGTCTTTGCAGAAGCGAGACGGGGTCAGCGCGAGTCGATCATGCAGTGGTGCAGTGTCGATGATAGGTCAGCCACGTCATTGGCCCAAGCGTGTTGGATTACATGGATAAGCGTCACGATCACGGAGCTTCGCGACATGCACGCCTCTGTTGACGCGCCATGCCATAGTAAACACCAACCCGCTGTCTAGATGACCCTCGCCCGCTGTCTTGATGGCCGAGACTGGGAATGCTGAGCCCCAGACGCCGATCTCTGAGGGACCCAGCTCGCCCACCACACCCACGCAGGAGAGCAGCAATGCGTCGGCCAAGTCGATTACCGGGGAGCCGATTGAGCAGCAGGACTTCGCCAATCCGACCCTCAGCATAATACGGAACTTCTCGCGCAGCACGTCTGCAAGCTCGGTGGCGACCAAAGAAGAAACCCCTCCGCCGCTGCCACCCCGACCCGCCCTCGGTCTACTCTCACGACCCTCGACATCGCACTCTACGGCCGCTGGGAGACCCCAACTGCTCTCCAAAGCCACCACCCAGCTGTCTGTAGCGCGGACACAGGCGTTCGCGACCGACGCGAAAGATGAGTCGCCCACGTCCTCGGGACCCAAGACACGCGACGTCTTGGGCGCGAGCCTAGGCGCTCACAACCTCAGCGATGCCGACGACGGCGCGAGTATACGCAGCTATGCGCCGACAATAGAGGCGGCAGGCTATCAGGAGAGCCTCCTGGGCGAAGTCATGGGCCAGGCAGAGAAGTCCGAGCAAGAGAAGTCACTGCTCAGGACGCTGGGCCACAAGTTCGTCGATGCCGAAGCGCAAAGCATGTTCCCGCCGGACCCATACTTTGAAGAGGCTTTTCGTCGCGAGTTCGATGAGGTCGACGAGATGGCCATGGATGGGTCGAATGAAGGTCAGACACATGGCATGTACCTAGAGGTAGCCCTCGCTGATGTAGTCAATAGAAGCGGTTATGCACCAGTGGCGCGCAAAACTGAAGCATTTCCTCATCCTCTCGAGTGCCGGCAAGCCCATCTACAGCCGACATGGCGACGACCAGCTCATCACGAACTACATTGGTGTCGTGCAGACCATCATATCCTTTTACCAGTCCACCAACGATATATTGAGAGGTTTCACAGCAGGAGACGTACGCTTCGTCGTCATGTCCAAGGGCCCGCTGAATCTGGTAGCCATCACGCGCTTACCAGAGAGCGACTCCCAGCTCCGGTCACAGCTCGAGGCACTCTACATGCAGATCCTATCCACTCTCACGCTTCCTAGTATGGAGCGCATGTTTGCTGCGCGTGCGAACTACGATCTTCGCAGACCGCTGCAGGGAACAGAGACACTACTATCAGCGCTTGCAGATGGCTTCACGAGAGGCTCACCATCGACACTGCTCTCCGCTCTCGAGTGCCTCAAGCTCCGCAAGTCCCATCGCACCACCATCAACAACACACTCTTGAAGACTCGCTCCGAGAACCTCCTCTACGGTCTTCTCGTCGCATCCGGGAAGCTCGTGTCCGTCGTCCGTCCCAAGAAGCATAGTCTGCACCCTGGTGACCTGCACCTGATCTTCAACATGCTCTTCGAAGCCGGTAGCGTCAAGGCTGGGGGTGGAGAAAACTGGATCCCACTATGCTTGCCAGGGTTCAACAACACGGGCTACTTGTACATGTACGTAAGCTTCCTGAATCTCGAACATCCAACGGAGCAGATGCAAGAGCGGCCTCGCACGAGCGATGGAGCCGACGACGAAGTTGCGGTCCTCCTGATCAGTGCGGAGAAGGAAAGCTTCTTCGAGCTTAGACGTATGAGGGATGATTTAGTCGAGGTAAGCTCACAGTTTCTTTACATTCTACTGCAAAGTCTCCTTAATACACGGGGGACCGGGATGATACGTGAGGACGCGTGGATTGCTAGTCAAATGGCCTCTGTTTCCCGCCCCAGGACGTTGTCCCGTGCCTTAAGATTGATGCGTCGAACGATGTGGGCTCGAACGGGCTCGGAGGCGAAATTGACTCATTCTCGGTGTTCTCCCATGGGTTCTCATGGGTTTATTGCCGGTAAGCGCGAATTGTATACCCGTACGAGGCCCACGGGGCAACTTTGCGATTCGGCTTCGGACGTCAGCATCTCCGATGGTCCTAGCCCATCCTCCCGGTCGGATTCCGCATTCCCTTCCCTTTGCCCCGGTCACCGCGTCCTTTCGGTCCTTCGATGGTCCCGTTCGTTTGGTTCCAATATGGCCAAGATTATTTAACAAAACAGCATTGCTTTCGGTAGATGTTTCGTGGGCTAACGGGTATTTCCGCAGAGCTTGCAACGCAATGGATCCATTGAGGCTATACGCACAGCTGTGCAGCAAGGCCGTCTCACTTGTACAGACATTGTGCCCGGCAGTCCGCTGAGACACTTTCTGTACAAGTCGAGGGGTAACGTGCAGTTCACTATGCCGAGCTACACACCTTACTTCGAGGGCGATCTGGAGAAGAGACGGTCCGTATCCCCACCCCCGCACGTGATCTCGCAATCAGTTGCCCCACATGCATACCAAGAAGGCTTGCTGACACTATCGTCTCCCCTAGATTGATCGACCTGTACAATAAACTTCACAGTAATCTGCACAACAAGCCGTCGACGCTTAAGGTGCATCATGAAACCAACACGACGTGTATAGCGTTAGCGTGGAGTACACCGCTGTTTGAGCTTTATGCTGTTGCGCCGGCAAATACGTCGAGGGCAGCGCTTGCACAGAGTGCGAATAAGGTCATTCAGTGGGTGCGACGAGAAGAGGAGAGAGTGTTCATCATTGGAGGTGCTGTATTCTAGAATTTCAACCACGCAAGGTGTTACAATCGGTAGAGCTTATATACCCATTAAAGCAAGGCAAGGGGAAAATAAAAGTATACCCCAAACATCTTTATTGCGACTATCATCAGAGACACTATGCAGTGCATCTCCAACTAAGCCTTTGGCAAATAGCCAACTCCCCTCATCTGCTCAAACACGTCTCTCAAACTTGCCCAAGTGTCTCTGTAGCCAGTCCAGCCAAACTCCCTTGCCTTGCTCATGCTAATCACCAGATCAAAGTTGCGTCCCAGTGCGAACCCGGTGAAAGCCCACGTCGCCTTGTTAAAAGTACTCTTGTCCAAACCCTCCCGCTCAGCAAGACGTTCCCATGCAGCCTTGACATCGTCCCGCTGCGACCACTTGACCAGATCCACATGCTGCTCCACGACATTCTTCTCCAGCGCCGGCGTGCCCTGAAGCCCAATCTCATCTGCAACAACGCTGATGGGAGGCTGAGGCGCCATGTCCATAGCACTCGACATGTCCTCTTTGCCCACGACTTTCTTGATGAGGCTGGATCCTACACCACCGCTTGCATACGCATCTTTGAATTGATCGGGCTTAACGCTCCCGCCAAAGTACTCAACGACCTTGGGCCAGAGGTTCTGCCAACTCTCCACATCGCCGTTGACGACGTTGAAAGCCTGGTTCGCGGCCCGTGGCTCCAGAGCCGCCCAGGCACAGAACTCGGCGTGCAATTTGGAGGAGGTGAAGGAGTCGAATTTGGTGTAGAAAGTGGGCGAGCCGGGGAACGTGAGCCCTTCGTTTCCGGAGAGCTCTTTGGACACGAGGGTGTAGAGAGCGATGGCGGAAGAGAGGTTCATGAAGTTGCCCATGGCGAAGCCGATGACGTCGTTGGGGTAGGTGGCTACCCACTCTTTGTTGTGCTTGTTGCAGAAATCGTGCAGGATGTTTTGCTGGTTGTAGTAGAAGTTTGGGGGCCATTTCGACGTGTCGGTTAGCCAGGGGAGGTCTTCGGTCATGGGTTGTTTGGGCATGCCTAGGTGCACACCGTATTGCTTGCAACCGCAGACTAGGATGATTCTCTTGATATCTGAGACTGCGCCGGTCTTTTCGAGGGCGGAGAGGAAGTTGGAGAGCATGCGGCCGTTGACTTCCCAGGCGTCTTCTTCTTTGTCTTGGGCTAGGTAGGCGGCGAAGAAGATGTATTCGCCACGCACGTTCTTGATATCGTTGGCCATCTCATCGGGAGAAGATTGTAAGTCGATGTGGTTGTGAATGACATTGTCGGCATAGTCTTCCTTCTTGCTGCGCGAGAGAGCATGGATTGTGGGCCATTGTTGGCGGTGTTGGCTGAGTTCGGAGACAATCTCACGGCCAAGGATGCCTAGGCCTGGTGAGGATAGGACCGAATGGAGTGACTTTCATACGTACCAGTTGCTCCAGTGACTATTGCAGAAGGCATGTTGTAGTGTGTGAGCTGTGTAAATCGATTGCTGTGTAAGTTGACGTTGGATGAAGTGACGGTATAAGAAGCAAATGGTTGTGATTCATGCATGACGTAAGAATGCATTCATGAAGAGGTATGTCACTAATAGACCTCATGGATCAACATCCACTTGGCAAGGTAGTACATCTGAGGTGGCGATGCGCTCACGGCTATCGCATCAGGCGAATTGTGTCGATGCGGTAATGCATCGATCACAGATGCCTGCCACGATCGCAGCACCTAGTGTGGGAGGGGTGTTTTTGTATATGTGTTGCATATTTGAGTCGAGTAAGATTGCGTGGCATTGTAGAGAGAGTGCTACGAACAAGCCTGGCTTCCATGGCTTCCAAAGAGCATATGGTAGTAGCAGGCAGGGAGCAGATGGATCCAAGAACGGCACCGAATCGAGAGTTGAGACTCGCATGTTCGTGCCTCAGCCACCATATGAAAGGGACCCGTGTCTCGTCCTATCTTCTGAGAAAGCTTGTAGTCTCCTTCACCGAGGTAGGACAAAGTGAACCCAGCATGGTCTGGTGGGATGTGGGGTGAAGAACATGCTCGGCGTAGGAGGATGCTTGGCGAAGCTGCAAGTCCAACAGATTCATGTCTTGCCGTTTTGCCTTCTAGCCCTAAGACGCATCTTCGTTCGCGTGACTCGTGCGTAGTGCCTGTCGTACGCTCTTCGACCATTGTACTTCCGTCTCATGCCGAATCAGATGCCAGGTGTCGCATGTCGCGGGGTGTCCGATGTATTCGTTATGCGTTTCGTATAGAGAGGAGAGGGGCGGTCTGGAATTGAAGGCGTTTTCATTTGGGAGGGCGCTTTTGCCATGTGAGTTCGCGGAACTGGTTCTTCACTTCATCTTTGAAGTGGTCGATGGATGATGGGCCGGTTCCTGGAGAAGTCAGTACTTCATCGTCGAGGCGGTGTTGATCAAAACATACTGCCTCCGCCATTCTTCTGCTCAAAGTCGGGCAGCCTGTTGATCTTGCGATAGGCCTTCTGGATGGCTCGGTTGAATGCCGGTGAGCGAATGAGCTTCGAAGAGTCAGTAGCTGTAGCGACATGAGAATATAGAGGATTGCCGACGTGCCTTTGCGACGGCCCAAGCCTTGCCCAGCTGTCAGCTTGATGTCTCTGTTCGGGTGGGGAACGGCACAAACCTCGAAGAGAGCGAACCAGGGAGCACCCATGGTTTGTTCAATCAAGCATTCACAAGCGCGGGTAGCTGCTACGGCGAGATAGCAGATGCGTGCAGGCGTTGCGTTGGGGGAGGGGTGGTGGCAACGGTGTGGGAGTGATGGATCGTGGAGCAGCCTCGGAATGGCGAGCGGAAGCGACTAGACACAACCGGGACTGGGCCTGCCTGCACCTGTGACGCGACCGCGCCTGACGTTTGATGTGGACCCTCGCTTCATTGATTGTTTCTTCTGGTGACGTACAAATGTTTGGTTTCTGGACATCTCAAGTCTCCCATCTTCTTTTCTGTGGTTGCATCTTTCTTCTTACCATCGCTGGGATAACGTCGGCCGCCTTGTCAGCCTGCTCGACAACGCCTTGACCTGCCCGCGCACCCCGCCAGCTGCTCCACTACACGCTCGCGTACAGCCCCTCATCTAGAACACGCCTCGCTGGAACCTGGTTCTTGGGCGCTGCACGCCGTTGGCTGGATAATCTTACAGTCGCCTTCCTCGCGCGACAACAGCCTCGGAATCGCCTTGGACATCAGCTTGTCAACGTCCCTCGGTCGGCCACTGCACAACTGCGCATCGTCGCCCAGCGTATTGCTATACGCTGCTCCATCGCTAGATATCAATCTGGCAAGGCCCCGGACCCCCACGAGTCGCACACGTGTCAGTGGAGGCATATCATCTGCGGCACTCCACTATCAAGCCCGTTATTCCTTTCTTGGACGCGCCACGCCTGCACCTAACCGCCTCCCGTCACCATCCCCTCGTCAAACTTTCTTGCTCCTCCACTGCCAGGACCCGAATCGCTCCCGGAATCCCATAACAACTCTTTCAAGCTGCATAAACTCCGCGCCCTCCGGCGCAAGGCGAAGCTCAAGGGCGTCCTCATCAGGACCGACCCAGCCATGGCTCAAGCCGGCGATGCCATCTCGCCTACCTCGTCCAAGCGCTCCCGTAGCAAGGACAGCACGCGATCAATCACCACCTCGTCCCTCAACACCCCGGCCGCCAACACTCCCTCTGTGAGCACGAATAGTCTCGTCATCTCCACTGCGCCCGTCCCAAGCGAAGCAAACGGCGAAGATGCTGTTCCCTATCCCGCTTTCCTGAAGCAGAGCAAGGACATAAATACCAAATGGAATCGCTTGGAGATGGCGCAAATGGAGCGCCTAAGGGATACGGCCCAGGGGACTGGACCCGACGAACCCGGCAAGTGGGCAAGGTGCTTTGGGGAAGACTATGCCATCCGCAACCGATACATCAACGTCGACCCATACCAGTCCAACAGAGTGCATCTTGACGTACCAGAGGGCCACTTCGATTACATCAACGCCTCGCCAATCCTGCTCGAGACCACCAAGTCTGGGACGGCGCTCAAGTACATTGCGACCCAAGGCCCCAAATCCGACAGCTGGTCGCATATCTGGCGCATGATATGGAAGGAGAATCAGTCGCCCGCAGTCATAGTCATGCTGACCCAGACCCACGAAGCGAACCGAGAGAAATGCTACCCTTACTACCCGCAATCGCCCTCGAGTCCGGACATGCGCATCAACGAGCACGACGAATTCGAAGACGGCTTCGTACACAACCTTCACCTCGCGTCGTACACAATAGATGAAGAGGCGAGGACGCAAGTGAGGGAAATCGATATGACAACGGACGACGGCAGCGAGTCGAGGAAGATCTGGCATCTGCTCTTCGCTGGCTGGCCAGACTTCTCGGTACCAGAGGGCGACGATCGCGCTGGCATGCTGAAGCTGGTGGACATATCGCGATCCAAGAACACAGACAACTCGGCCAACCCACGCATCGTACACTGCAGCGCAGGCATCGGTCGCAGCGGCACCTTCATTGCGCTCGACTGGCTTATGCAGGAGCTTGACGAGGGTGCCTTGGACGATGTACCAGAGGACGAGGATCCTGTACTGAGAGTTGTGGAGATGCTCCGAGACCAGCGAGCTGGCATGGTTCAGTCAAAGATACAGTTCCAGTTCATATACGATGTGATGCGCGAGCGATGGCGCGAACGATGGATCTCTGAACATCCCGAGGAAGCAAACCAGCTCGGCCTCGCAATCGCAGCGCCCACGTCCGATAGCGAACAACCTGCCCTTAAGCGCCAAAAGTCGTTACACAATAGCGAAGCCGCCAACGAAAGCCTTACGCTGCTGCCATCCCGACCAGCGAGTTCGCGAGGTGCGTCTAGCTCACCAGCGCCAGATGCAGAGGCGCGCGCACAGCTGGAAGCCGAGCTTCAGGGTGCGGATATGGAGTATGAGAAGGGCAAGACATAGTCGTTTCTGCACTTACTGAAGCCTTCACGCCGACCACGCAGGAAGGCGACACCATGGACTCCGCTTCGTCCACCCGTGCAGTCTTATCATACATTCGCGGACACTATTCCACCTCCTACAGGTCCTGGTGCTGAACCTACAATGGTGATTACCGGCGGTGTGCTCGAGAACGTGGGTGCAGATGGGGAGGTTGAGCAGCAAGACGGCGCTGTTGACCTCGAAGCGCAACCTGCTCCACCACCACCACCACCCTCTCCTCGTCGCAATTCTTCCGACGACACGTTGCCGGGTTCGCGCCCTCCGTTGGGGGAAGTTTGTGGCCGTTATCACGTTGTTTTGATCATGATGGGTATTACTTCGGCCTTGGTTGTTGGCTTTATGTTTGTGTACTGGGATGCCGTAGATAGAGTTTAATTGTGTGTCCTGTTTTTAGTTCAGAAAGCATAGCGTTGCGAATACCCCTCGGATTGGGTTGGTTTGGTTTTCGGTCACGGCGGCGGTAAGCAAAGCACAGCGAAAGCAGCATCGTCTGCGATCGTGCGTGCGCTTTATTGGTAATTTAGATCTATCCTTCTTCGCTGTTCATCTCGATCCCGTCTTGCGTCTTTAGCGCTATCATGCTAATCTTTCTTCTGTTGCTCGTTGTTATCGCGAAACACACTACGGCCGTACCTTTAGGGCTTATTTGCGCTCAGTCCGTGGACGTTGCTCCGCTTCCCGTGACAGTTCTAGACTCTAACATAAGCTTTCGCAACGGGTTTACTAAACACGACAGGTTTGCCCCCAGAACTCAGTCCGTCTACCAAGACCACCAAGATGCCCCGGATTTTCGCGGTCTTTACCGGGTTTTCTCTAGCGAAGACGGCGTCATGGCTCCGCGTTTTGACTGGGTACTTGCCCCAGCTTCACGATGCACAGATAGATGAGGCTGTGTGAGGGAAGGGAAATCTGCCTGCCCAGGTGATATCTTGGCTCCTGGGCCTTCTGGTCGAAAGAACTTGTGTTTTTCTGCCTTGTACATTGACTTCCACGCTGCGACCAAATCCTCGCGAATACCCTCACCTTGCCCAACCTCAACGACCACCGCGTCGTTCAAGCTGACCAAGGTAGCTACCGCTGCCTAGCCAGCTAACTCACTCAACTCATGTACTTACCTGCATCCTACTAAGCAGCCACAATAGTCCTGTTTCGCAACTCTAGTCCCGCTCGTTATCAATTCGACACAGCTGCTTTGACTTGAAACAAAATGTCGCACCTTGGGACGGTATCATCAAGCCACACCACCGGAGCCTTTTTTGCAAGAGTGAGGGGGCCTGGACCCGAGACTTGTCATCGGTCTTCGCTTATCGTGAGTCTAGGTTGGACGATTGTTTGTTGTTCTGCGGGTGGGAGGTACATCATCGGTGTAAGCTTACTTGAGCATGCCTTGGCCATTTCTTTTTCCCTTTCTTGGGTAGAGGTGGAGATCAGGAAAGAGGAGCTTGATATGATTGTTTGGGAAGCTATATGCTTAGAGGCTTTGTTCCGATATAGCATTGCGATGGTGGTTAGTGTCGCTAATCGGATTGCGGTGTTGTATCTTTCGAGCAAGTGACAAACTTGTGGAAACGGTCAAATTGAAAAAGCACTCGACGTATGACGGAATCATCTTCCTGCTCTCCGTTCTTTGACTATTGGTCGGGCGGTGTAATGAGAATCTGATCAGTGCCTACTGCATAGTTGCCCTCGCATTATGGCCCCGAAGCAAAATCCATCGCCGTTGCTCAACGTCTGCAATGCCCCGATCGGCGTGAATGACGCGATAACGCGACGGATATGCGCCATTCACGTTGCCTATCTGCCTTGCATCTTACTTCAGCAACAAAACAAACTTTTGGCTCCGTTTTGCTGGACCCAAGGTTGTTGAGGTGAACTGGAGGTATATTAGTTGGGCGGAACTTTCGTCCGAGATCATGCAATTTTCCTCGGCACAGTCGAACGTACTGTTCTGCTCCCTTTACTGGTGGGGGAAGAGGTCTCCGTAGCGGTGAGCTCATTTGTTCATCTGTGACGTTTTGTTGAAAATGCGATGCGACGCATAAACAATTGTAATTGCCTCGCCGGTGCACGTCGCCGACTGACGAGTACTGTTGATGCGAAGATCCCGAGGTTCGTTACAGATCAGCAGGAGATGGTAATATTGCGCATTACTCGAGTGCGGTGATGGTAACCGCAAATGATGATCGACCCCTGCGAAAAGGTGATGTCTGGGCATGTGGTGCGCCAGAAAAGCTACAGATCGATCATTGGAATGGTTTGCCATACTGTCTGTAAATCTTGACGAGATGACGTGCCGAATTATCAGGTACAAGGCCGATACGTATCGGACTGTGCCACTGATCGACATCTTAACGAGTCGCCCGTTCTCCATCTATCCTTGTAAATGCGCGGTATCAAGGAATTCGACTCCACGGACGCAAGCTTCAAAACTCAGCCGCATCCGCACGCCGATGTTCCACGATACCCGTTTTACCATCCTACTGAGCGTTGATTCGCTGTGGCCAAGGTGTCCGATTCAGAGTTTAGAGCAATGCGGGGCACCTCTTGCTTGGCTTCGCAACGCTGAGAAGGACGAACATGGGTACGAATGGGGTAATGTAGCCTTGCTGTCATTGCCCAAAAACACCAAGTGCGGCTGTAACCGAGCCCGTTTTCGGTCTGTCTTGA